GCCCGGTCCAGCGAGCTCAGGATGGCGCTGGTGACCGACACGCACGCTTCCGACAGGCACACGGCCGGCGGCCCTGCGGGCGGCACGGCGGCCCCGGCTCCGTGTCATCCATCCATCCGTGCATCCATCCATGCATCCCAGCATCCATCCACGCATCCGCGCGGTGCCGGACTTACGGGCTCGGTACTGGAAGACGATGCCGAGCAGGCAGGCGGCCAGCACGGCGGCCAGCGCCGCCACCAGCACCACCAGCTGCTTTTCCAGGCGCGTGCGCTCCGACCAGCAGCCCGCGCCGCTCCGCGGGCTTCGGAAGTTCACCTGCAGCGGGAGCAGGGGCAGGAATTAGGGATAAAAAGAGGCTTTTTCCCCATTGGGAATCCCCCCGGTGTGCTCCCATGCGAGGGAGATGGCAGCGAGCCGGCACACTTGCCGCAAGGATCCATCCCAGCCCGATCCAGGCTGGGAGGGAGGCCAGGGATCCCGCCAGGAAGGGCGGCACAATGGGAGGAAACGTGGAGCTGCCGCCCGCTCGGAAAAGCGTGGACCTGCCGAAAGCCGGCCCGAATGGAGATGCTTAAAGAGCTGGCGGGAGAGCCGGTTCGGCTCCCTGATCCGGCAGGAATCGGGAAAAGCAGGAGCGCTCCCAGTGTACTCAGATTTCCCCAAAATTAAGCCCCATTGGGAGCAAAGGGGCTGGATTTGGGGGCAGCAAAAGCCCTTCCCAAGCTCCCAGCATCGCTGCCGCTCCGGAGGGCTGGATGCTGCGGTGCGAGGCCGGCTTTCCCGCTGCTTTCAAAGCGGCTTCCCCGCCGCGCGGGCGGCAGCGCGCCCGGTTTAGCCTAATCCCACCTTTATGCCGGGACAAAGCTCCCGGCGGAGCCGTAATTGCTCGGAAAAGGCCCCCGACGGCACAGACTCGCTGGCCCGGGATCCCCCCCGGATTTGGGGAGATTTCGCAGCCCCGGGAGCAAAGGGCAGCGCGGGGACCTGCCGGCGCCATCCGGAGAGGACTTTGCCCCCGGAGCGCCGCAGCTCCTGCGGGAAACCCTGCTCCGATCCCGGGCGCGGATCCCACCTGGAAGCCGTTGGGGTATCCATCACCGTCGGCCTCCAGGGGCTCCTCGTCGTCCAGCGTCGCGCGCTTGTAGGTCGACATCTGCAAGGCGAGCGCGGCGCTCAGCGTCCCGGGGCGAGGAAGAGGAGGAGGAAGGCGACACGTGTGCCCGGCGCGTCGGGAAGCCGCGGGCTCCCCCGGGGCCGGCGCGGGAAGGGCCGTCCTGCCCTCGGCGCTTCCTCCCGGCACTACCCGCTCGCTCGCGTAGCCGCCCGCCGCCG